TATTATTTCCCACCTTCTGCTGACTTTGGGCTTGTTTGTTCTTTTTCTATCTCTGTTACATGTAGTATAAGATTACTTATTTGAGATTTTCCTTGTTTGTTGAGGTGGGCCTGTATTGTTATGAATTTCCCTCTTAGAACTGTTTTTGCTGCATCCCATAAGAGTTGGTATGTTGAGTTTTCATTTTCATTTGTCTTCAGGTATTTTTTGATTTATCTTTTGATTTAGTCATTGATCCATTGGCTGTTCAGTAGCATGTTGTTTAGTCTCTACATATTTGTGACTTTCCTAGCTTTATTCTGGTAGTTTCCTTGCATTGTGGTTGGATAAGACGCTTGATATGATTTCAATCTTCTTAAATTAGTTGAGGCTTGCCTTGTTTCCCAACATATGGTCTGTCTTTGAGAATGTTCCGTCAGCACTTGAGAAGAATGTCTGTTCTGCTGGTTTTGGATGGAATGTTCTATATATATCTAGGAAGTCTATCTTAGTGTTTCATTTAAGGCCAGTGTTTCCTTGTTAATTTTCTGTCTGGATGATCTATCCATTGATGTAAGTGGGGTGTTAAGGTCCCCCAGTATTACTGTGTTGCTGTCAATTTCTCCCTTTAGGTCTGTTAATAGTTGTTTTATATACTTTGGTGCTCCTATGTTAGATGCATACATATTCATAAGTGCTGTGTCCTCTTGGTGGAATCTCTCTTTCATCATTATATACTGCCCCTCTTTGTCTCTCATTGTCTTTTACCTTGAAGTCTACTTTGTTTGATACAAGTAAGGCTACTCACTTTCTTTTGTTTGCCATTTCCTTGGAGTGTCATCTTCCATCCCTTCGCTCTGAGCCTATGTTTGCCTTTAGAGCTGAGATATGGTTCCTGGAGGCAGCATATGGTTGGGTCTTGTTTTTTAATCCAACCAGCCACACTGTGTCTTTTGATTGGTGAATTCAACCCATTTATATTTAGAGTGATTATTGATATACGAGGGCTTAATACTGCCATTTTATCTTTTGTTTTCCAGTTGTTTTATATTTCCCTTGTTTCTTTTCCCTCACATTTTTGACTGCCATTTCAGGTTGGCATTTTCTCTGATGGTTTTCTCAATTTTATCTTTATTTATGAGTTTTACCTCTGCTCTAACATTTTGTTTAGTGGTTACCATGAGGTTTATATACAAGACCTCACAGATGAGGTAGTCCATTTTCTGACAGCCTCTTGTCTCCATTAGCCTAAGCAGGCTCCATCCTCATCCTCTTCCCCTTCTGAATTACTATTGTCACAAATTATTCTTTTTTGCATTCTGAGTTTGTGACCAAATTGAAGTGTTTACAGATATTATTGATGCTTTGCTTCATTTTATCTTTTATGTTATAATTAATTGTTTGGTAACCTATTCTGATAGACAGAGGCAATTTTGTGATTCTGGCTATTTATCTCCTTGCTCAAAGCTTTGTGAACCTTTGCCTTTTTGTTTCAGATAGGAAGGCTCCTTTAATCCTTTCTTGTAAGGCAGATCTAGTGGTGATGACTCCCTCAGCTTTTGTTATTTTGGGAAAGCTTTTATTTCTCTGTCAAATCTGAAGGATGATTTCTCTGGATAAAGTATTCCTTCCAGAAAGCTTTTGTCTTTAAGAATTTTGCATATATTACTCCATTCTCTCCTAGCCTTTAAGGTTTCTGCTGAGAAATCTGCTGAAAGCCCAATAGAGGTTCCTTCATTTTCTTCTGCCTTGCTGCCCTTAATACTTTTTTTTTGTCATTGACTTTTGGTAGTTTTTTTTATTATATGTCTTGGAGAAGGTCTTCTTTGCATTGATGTCATTAGGATTTTTATTGGCTTCAAGAACTTGTAAATCCAGTGTCTTCCCCTGGTTTGAGAAGTTCTCAGCTATTATTTCTCTGAACAAACTCTCTGCTCCTTTCTCCCTGCCTTTTCCCTCTGGAATACCTACTAACCTTATGTTACTTTCTCTAACTAAGTCAGATATTTCTCAAAGAATTTCTTCATTTATAAAAATCTTAGTTCTCAAACCTCTTCCATCTGAAGACTTTCTAGATTTCTTTCTTCTAATTCAGTAATTCTGTCCTCTGTATGATCTGCTCTATTTTTTATGGTTTCTGCATTATTTTTCATCTTATTAATTGTGTTCTTAATATCCAAGATTTCTGTATAGGTTTTTTTAAGGGCTCCAATCTCTTTGGGAAGTATTCCTTCTGCTCACTAATTTTAATCCTAAGCTCAGTGAACTTTCTGTGAGGTAACTCATTGAAGTTCTTTATGACAGCTATTTTGAATTCTCTGTCATTTAGATTGTAATCTCCTGTTTGGTTTGTAAACTTCAGGTTTGCTCTCTGGAGACGTGTCATTTTCCTTCTGCTCTGGAGTGTTACAGTAGTTCTTCATGGTGTTCTATGAATTGATCCTCTGTCGGTGTGCCTTTGGTGGAATCAAGTCACAGATTCCGCCTGCCACAGCTGGGGGCATGCAGGAGCTGTGCTTTCTGACCCTGCCCTCTCCAGTGGTATTTGTGCCAGTCAAGGCACTCTGCATTCACACAAGCTGGCTGCAGCTGTTTAGTGATTTGCACTTGTGAGGGTGGGGCACCTTTGCCTCGGCCAGCACTGAGCTCAAAGGACAGGGTGCCTTTTCGGGGATGGAGCCATCACCACTCGGTGGGGAGTGTTCACACGAGTGGGGCCACTGCAGCACAGTGGCCACTCTGTGGGACGGGCTACCACTCCAAAAGCATTGTTTGTGGGCTGGGCTGCTCCCACCTCTGCTCACAGTTGCACTGTCCACTATGTGAGGACCTAGGACCTGGATCGCTACTGCTGGGCCAGGGGAGATGGCCACTCCCCTTGTTCCATTGCTTCCCAGGGACCCACTCCCCCCACCTTCAGATACAAGGCTGCATGGATCTCTCAGGTGTCCTGTTGTGCTTTGTAGGGAGTCCTCTGTTGGTTAATGAATGTCCTTTTAGTTGTAACTTAGAGGGGAGAGACAAAGGGAACAACTCAGTCCACCATGATGCTGACCTCACCTCAAAGGACAAATCAAAAGTAAAATTAAAGTATTTGTAAAATCAAATGGAATTAAAATATTACATAGGAAAACAGATGAGATACAGTGAAAGACAAACTTACAGGAAAATTTGTGACTCAAAAGGCTTATGTTACGGAAAACAAGGGTGAAAATAAATCAGCGAATAATCCACCTAAAAATATTAGAAAACAATAGTAAATTATACCAAAAAAGTGAACGGGAGAAAAGTTTAGAGAAAGAGCAAACAAATTAATTGAACATAAAATTCAGTAGAGTGTAATAACTAAGCCAACAGTTACTTGAAAAGGCTGCTAACACAGATAATACTCCAATGAAATAGATCAGAAAACAAGACAGTGTTTCCAGCCTTTTTGAACATTATAAACTCCCTCAGGGGCTTTTTAAACACTTTTGTCCTTGTAGCCACCATGAAATTCTAATACCAGAAATTTGTTTTATATCTCTTTGTGTACCGTGCTTCATACTTAAGAACAGTAAGTATAATTTCCACCCTTTTGGCCACGTCCTCCCTGTTGTGAACACATAGAATGAGAAAACACACAATTAAGTGATAATAAGAGTTAACAGAAGATACAACTACAGATAGAGCAGAGATATAAAAATCAAACATAATCTGGACAACTTTATATGAATATGTGAGAACAAATGTCCAAATAACTAGAAAAATATGTTACCTAAGATGACTGATAATGGAAGTGGAAGCACTGAATAAACACCTGTGTTAACCTGCTCAAGCTGCCATGACAAAGAGTCACAGGCTGGGGCTCCTGAAACAGAAATGACTTTCTCACCGTTCTGGAGGCCAGGAGTCCCAGCCAAGGTGCCAGCAGGGTGGTTTTCCGATGCGGCATCTCTCCTGGCTCGCAGACAGCTGCCTTCCTGCTGTGTCCTCACACAGCCTTTCCTATGCCTGTGGAAAAACAGCTCCTGTGTCTCTTTCTCTTTTTATAAGGACACCAGTCCATGGGATTAGGGCCCCACCCTTAACTGCCTCCTGAAAGGCCCCATCTCCATATTCAGTCACATTACAGGTTAGGGCTTCAAAATATGAATGGTGGGCACAATTCTGTCCATAACATTCAGTAAATATTAAATGAATGGTATGAGGGATTTAAAGACTTCCCACAAAGAAAACACCAGGCACAGATGGTATCGTACGAAATAGTCAAGGAGCAGAGTGACGGGATAATGTTCACAGTCTTTCCAAGGAGAAAGAAAGTGAAACACCCCCAAGTGCATATTATGAGGCTATTATTACCTAATATCAAAAACAGATGAGGACAGCACAACAACAGAAAATTGCACTCCAGCCTCCCTCATGATCGTAGGCAAAAAAAATTCTAAACTAATAGTAAACTCAATCCAGCAGCGATTAAAAGAATTATCATGGCCAAGATGGGTTTATTTATAAAATGTTAAAATTGGTTTTACGTGCCTTAAGGTAATCAACCATATTAATAGATTACTGGAAAAAATATATATTCATCTCAAAATCTGGAGAAAAAGGATTTAGATAAAATTCAACATTCATTCATGATTTGTAGCAAACCAAGAACAGTATTGAAACACTCTAATCTGGCAAAGGATTTCTAAAAAAAACCTTCAATAATATCAACCTCAATGGTGATGTGTTAGAAGCATTCTCTTTAAGATCAAGAATGCCTCCATCAAGCTTCTGGTCAACACATCATCGGAGAACTGCTCAGCACAATGATTTTGGTTTTTGTTTAATTTTGCATAGAAACCCAAATGCCTCTGAAGATACAATTTTAGAACAACACAGTTTTTAGCAAGGTGTGTGAATCTATCAATAAATAAATACATTTCTTAATGACAGGAATCAACAATCTAAAAACTTTATTTTTAAAATGCTACTTACTATAGCAGCAAAAATATAGGGTATTGAGGGAAGGCGCTTGACAAAAGTGGTAGAGATCTTCATAGAGAAATTTATACAAACGGCACTGACAAAGATTTAAATAAGCGGAGACGTTGGCACGTTCACTGACAGGAAGAGGCCAGACTGCAGTTTTCAGATCCCTGTAAATGTATCTACATATTTAATGTTATCGTAAAATCAAATACTGAGAGGGTTTGGGGGGCCAGGATGTGCTGCTGCTAGAACTTTCATGAAAGAGCTAATGGGTTTTCCATGGAGCAGACAAGCCAGCCCCACTGACTCTCTGAATTTCTGGACACAGAGCCTGCGGGCAGAGCACAACGGTTCGTGTTTTGTGTCCCTAATTTGGGGGGTTCGTTTCACAGCAGAGGAGAACGGAAATGTCCCTCATTCACAAAGGACTCGGGCACCCTCGCACGACCTCCTTCCCCTTCTGGATCCTTCCACCCCTTGGGTGACTGCAGTATTCACACGAATGGCCTTCCCGCACACGAGACTGCCCGCTCCCTGACCTCCTCTCCCACGGTGCTGGCCTCAGCTCGGCCCTTAGCGGCCCCCGTCAGTTTACAGAAAGGCGGGGTTTCTGGGGGACGCCAACGGCCACCTGTGAGGGTTTGGGATAAGGGAGCAACGGAGGCCCGTCTACCCCGCCAAAGATCCCATGACCGCCGCCTGGGGTTGTCAACTGGCAGCACTCTGAGCAGAGCTGCAGGTCACAAAGTCACCATGCCAACCTTGCTGTCCATCACGACGACCGGACACTCTGCGTCCGCGGATGTCGTGGGGCCTCGGCCCAGACCCGCTTCGCCTCCTCGGAGCGGAGGAGGGACTAGGTGGAGTTCACGCGCGCCGCCCTGGGCACAGGGCGGGAGGGGCCGAGCCCTGAGCACAGGTGGAGGCGGCGGAGGCAGAGGCAGAGACCTGAGGTGGCCTGGAGTGGGGCCTGAGGTGGCTGGGGTCGTCGGTGCTAATCCCACCCCAGCACCCAGAGAGACGGGGCCTCGGGAGCGGCCTTGAAAATGGGGAGCAGGGGTCCCCGGGTGCCAGGCCCCGTTCTCTTCCTGCTGCTGCTGCTGCTGCCGCCACCTCCACTGCAGAGCACAGAGAGCTTCCCGTCCCGCGTCCCAGGCAACAGAGACTTCCACCGAAAGGCAGGGCGCCGGAGGAGGGATGTGAACGAGTGGAAAACCTGCAATGGCGTCTTCGACATCTACTTCATTTTGGACGCGTGAGTGACCAGCTACCCCGGCCCAGGGTGCTCCTCAGGGCGCCTCGGTCTTTAGAGGTCCTGCTGGCAGGGAGTGGCCCAAAAGTGCCCCAGCCTCTGAGAGATGGGAGGCAGGATGGTCAGGAGGGGACCCAAGGAACAGAGCCCTGTGGCCTCCTTGTCCTGAGGCAGAGGAATGACCCAGTCGTTTGTCCCCGGGGCTGTGTCATTTGGGAAGGAAGAACGGCTAGCTGAGGGTTTCTGGATGGCTCCCCGGCCCTCCATCCCCGGGCCTGGATCTGGGAGCGCCTGCCCATAACAGCCAAGGGGCCATGGCATGGAGCCGCCTTCTCAGCATGGGTCCTGGCTCCCGAGGGCCGCGGTTGGGTTTGGGTTTGCTTGGTTGGTTTGGTGTTTCCCCCAGATGGCATGTGTGTTTTCCTGCCCAGAGAGACCCCCGTGTGGTCTCTTGGGCCTCGTCACAGCGTCACTGCTCAGAGGGTCCTTGGCTTTGCTGCTTCTGAGTGATTTGCTTCTCTCCTCGACAACCTGGGCCCCCGTGACAGTGTGTGTGCACTTTCCCAGCGGTTTGGTCTGTGTGGCTTGGCCCTGGGAAAGCTGGGCTGTGCCTTAGGCAGCTCTGGCCCTCACAGAAGGAAGCTGGGGGTCTTCAGGCTTGGAGGGAGTGCCTTGGTTCCAGTTTCAACCCCTGGCGGCTGAGAATAAACTTCACTTCTTCAGTAGTCACAGTGGCATGACTGTCAGCATGGTTGAGGACGTCCCGGTTGATAAAGCTCTTGCAGTGATCTCCTGTCGTCCTCCCAACAGTCCCGGGTGTAGGGTCCGGAGGTGTTTGGATGTGGGATCTCCTGGAACGGGGGGCTCCTCAGATGGGAGGAAGGAGCCCAGAGGCTGGTGGTGACAGGACTCCATCTTCCTGGGCTGCGCTCATCCGCATTCCTGGCTGTGTGGCCTCTGATCCTCTTGTTCTCCATGGAGACTGATGTTGGGGGGATGGGTGCCCAGCCCACAGCTTCTAACAAGCCCTCGAGCTGGGAGCCACGCTGGACCTGGAAGAGAAGTTCCTCCTCACTGTGGAGTGGGGGTCCTGAGATGCCCTGGGCAGATCTTGTCTGGTTGGTCCTCAGCACAGCCCAGGGCAGTGGTGATTGGTCTCTTGGGCCTTGGGGTTGGGGCATGGTGGGCACTGTGGGGGCTGTCAGCCTCTTTGGGTCAGTCTTTCCAGAGAGTGGCAGTGAGTGCACAGGGTCCTCTCAGCTGCCATGCTGTCACACCGCCCCTGCCCACAGCCCTAGTCTCTGCTCTTTGGCCCAGAGTGGGCACAGCCCAGCACTGGGATGGATGGGGGGCGGTGCTCTGGGCACAGGAGGGGATGTGAGCTAATGTTGACTGAGCACTTCTAGGTTCCAGGGGTGTGCTGAACACTTCGCCCTCCCACAGATTCAGGGAGTAGGTTCTACTTCCCTCTTTCAGGGTGATGAAACTGAGGCTGGCGGGGCTACTGAATTGCTCAATGTGGATCAAACGGTTGCTGGAAAACATTAGAAGGTGGGAGGCTGCTCTCCTTGCCACTCTCCAAGGAGGGCCTGAGTTCAGAGGACTAGAAAGGGGCCATTCCAAAGACGTGGCCGTGTTTCCTAGATGAGAAGGTGAGGGGCTCAGGTGGGGTGTTTTTTGCTTAGAGGAGGTGTGTCATTGGCTGGTGTAAAAGGATCCCTGTTGAACGTCACAAGGGCATAGCGTGCCAGGGGACCAGTGACGTGGCTGCTGAGGGAGCCAGGAGGAGATGAGGGTGGTGTGGACCAGGGGGTAGGAGTGGAGATGGTGAGTGGCCAGAGTCTGGATCTGTTTGGAAGGTGAGGTCACAGGATTCCAGACAGATTGGATGGGCGAGGCCAGGTGTGGCCCTGGATGGGGTAAGGGTCAGGGAGGACAGCAGCTTCATCGCTGTGTTCTTCCTCACAACTGTGGGGAAACGTCATTGCCCCTATTTACACACAAGGGAAAGAGGCCACTCAGAGCCAGCGAATGACCCACCAGAGTCCTCAGGATGGCATGGAGCCAGAATGGAAGCTCTGGAAAGTCTGATTGCAAAGCCCATTCCACAGACTCCAAGGCTGGGTGGGTGTCTGAGAATCTTGGAGGATAAACATTCTGTCACCTGCAGGGGGGTCTTGAGTGGTTCGCTCCCAGCTTATTCAGTAGTTCATGATCCGTTTGTCCCTTCAGTAGACTGAACAGCATGAAAACGAGTGAACCCTCCCATGTGGCTGCAGTATAGGCTGGTGGCCACTGAGGGCCAGGGAGCTCCAGGCTGGGGGAATGGCCTGTGCCAAGTCCTAGCAATGAGGCCCTCAGGGGATCCCAGAGGATCCGAGTGTGAGGAGGGAGGGGGAGAAGGGAGGAGGAAGACGGAGGGAGATAAGCCGATGGTGGGTCCCTGGGCCCACACAGGAGATGTGTTCTTTACCTCAAGGGCATTTTGCGGTCAGTGAAAGAAAGGCTTCTCTCAGAGGAAAGATGGATCAGATCTGTGTTTTCCAAAGTGGCCCTTGGCTGCCTTGGGGAGGATGGATTGGAAGGGGGAGGATGGAAGCAGCAGCTGGAATGAAAATGGGAAGGATGATAGAGCTCCCAGGAGCCCTGGGCAGGTGTGCGCAATGAGAGGAGAATGGGGCGACAGACCCCAGGGGAGCTCCCACCTGATCAACACGGGTGGAGGAAGAGGGTTGGTGTAAAGGAGAGAAGCAGAGCTTCATGCCATCCATGCCAGGGACGTGGTGGCTGTGGGCAGTGTCACTCTGCGTGCTATGGGGATGAGAGAGGGTCTCACAGCCGCCATTCCTGGTATTAAAAAATAAACTGAGGCACGTTATAATTCTTAAGAATTTATGTGGGAATACATGGATCTGACTTGGTTGATTTGGGTTGTTAGGAACACTCTACCTACATGATCCAGGGGCAAGGTTTTTATACAGAAGAAAAACAAAGTGGTTATTTGAATGGTTATGTTTAAGCATTTGTCTTATCTGGGAAAGCCTATTTTGCTCTTTGTGATGGGTTTGCTTACTGAGGCTAGCAAGGCATTAGAGCCACCTCAGTTAGTGGCCTCTTTGTTTAAATACTAGAACAATTCCCCCTCTTGTTCCTCCTCCCCTACGTGAGAGATTGACCAACAATTTGGTATGAGCACTGCTCTCAGTTACCGTTAGGGTTAAGTTGTTCTTGTGTCATGTTCTTGTCTTGAAACTTGTAGGTTATGATGTGAAGTCCTTGGAAGAATTGTTTGGCTTTTCATCTCCTGTCGATCTCATTTCTGTCTCTCCAAGTGCGATGAGACCATCTGACGTACTGCTGATGGCTGTGAACGTGTAGTTAAGACCCTTGGGAGAACACACTGCGACAGGGAGACTACAGTGTTGACTATCCAGAGGAAAATACCGACAGAATGAATGATGTTCCTTAGCCAGGGCCCTGCGAACCAACCCAGTTGAATCAGATAAATCAAGGAATGTGCTTGAAGAGACATCAACTGGTTTTAGCCAAGTGGCTGGTTAATTTTTTATATTTGAGTTTCTTCAACATCAGACGTGTCGATTCAGGTACTGCAGAAGGTGATTGCTGTGCACAGACTCCTCCTTTTTCAGACTACAATTAATCTAAAGCAATTCTATAACCTAAACCCACCCTGGTGGCTTAAAATAATCCTTATGCCAAAGGGCCATATTTGGGGGTGGCCTGTTTTGCTCCCCTTCATTCACCACCTTGAAATTTCCCAAGAAGCTTTATAGTGTAGAAGTTGAGTTGGTACATTACCCCATCTCATGGAACCTGTCACTTAGTCCTGAAGATAGTTCAGTTTAGTTAATCAGCTGTGTGTCATTTCAGGAGGCAGTGTTACAGGTAGTCTCCCAAAGTTAGGCCTGTATGATTTGAGCAGTCAGTCATTTAATAGGAGGCATTTCTGTGGAAAGAAAAGAAGGTCAATGGTTGAAGGAGACGACGAATCACTTTCTGAGTCTAGAAGGCAGCCAGTTGAGAAGACTTGAGATATCCGACTCCGAGATGTTGGATTCGAAGGATCTTTGTAGTTGGAGGGGCTCTGGTGATGCATTTGGGTGTTTAAGTGAACTTTCTGTGTGGCCCACCCGGCAACAGGCACAAAGGTTGTCTGTGCGTGAGCATTGTGGTGACATCTCTGCAGTGCATATCAAGTTGTCCAGCCTCAGTTTGCAGGGCTTTGGGAAAAGGGCAGATCTTGTCCTTGGTGACTCCAAGTCAGAAGGGTGGAAGAATATTGGAAATGTTAATTTGGAGAGTTGTAACCAGATATTGGAGGAAACTAGAAGAATTTAGGATCAAGTCCATTTTACAAGTAGATAAGAAAACCTCAAAGACAGTGAGCAGGAGTAGAATCTGATACCCATAAGGGCGTGTTCCAGTTTTCTACCGAAACATAGATTTTCTGTCTACAATTATTCCAATTCCTAGCAAAAATAATCGCCATAAGACTAATTTGTTTGCAAAATGTCTAGTCTCATTAAACTGGCCTGCACCTATTGCCGTAAGTGCAGCCAGAAGAGAAATTTTATGTGTATTGTTGAATATGATATTCCAGCTAACGCTTTGGTGATATCTAAGGGAATTTCTTGCCTCCATAATGCCCACCTTGGTTTCTTAAAACAGACAATAAGGAAACTTAGATGCGATTTTTAGAAACTTCTTTGGGCTAAGAAGCCAAGCCAAGCATTGTCCAATTTTGTCCTGTTACAAGGAGAACAGATTCTGATCGAACTTATGCAAATACCTATGTTCTCATGAAAAATAAGAATACTCTATAAGAATTTCTGGATACTAGAGGGAGCAGATGGAGAGAAAAACAAATATTCTTTTTTTGTTTACAAAAGTATGCTTCACCAAATCGCTGTAAGTTATAGATAGATTAAAAGAAAAGAAAAAATTAGAGTTCTTGAAATCTGGAAAACAAAGCAAAAGAACCA